ACATGTACATGTAAAAATACATGTACCTAAATACACACATGTATATATGTACATGTAGAAATACTGACGTAGTAATAGAAATAGTACCGTAGATAACAGAAACACGTGATGGCAGGTTGATAGAAATGGTAGCTACTCTAACAGAAGTTTATTTTTGTTCGAGAAAATAAGGAAAGCACGTACGATCACGCTCGCATCACGGACACCTCTATAAATAGCCACCTGTCTATAAAGAACGTTTCCATCGAGAAAAAATCGTTAGATTTATACTTATACTTCGCGGTAAGGCCAGTAGGTGGCGCTGTTTATCGGCACGTCTCCGTCGGCGTTGTTTCAGGACAAGCAGGTGGAGCTGGCACAGCAGTGAGCTAGGCACGATTCGAGAGACTCCCTGAAACTCAGCCGACGCTCTGCCTAGCTTCGACGTGATGGAGCAACATACGACCACCCCCCTGCCGCACCGCACCCCTCCCCCAACCCTCCGACGCAGCACGCCCGGCGCCGTCTAGACAACCTGCCAAGAAGCTAACGGTCCCCATGGGAGACGGAGTGTGAGGCGCCGGACGTCGCTCCCCGCAACGCGTCAACGCAGTTACTCGAGCTCGTCGACTTCATAATCATCCACTACGATGTCGTTACCGGATGCGTTGCAGTATTCCGGATAGTTCCGGGGGCTCCGAAATCCGGATAATTCCGGGGGCCCCCAAAATTCCGGAGGCCTCGCAAAAATTCCGCGATGTTCGCGAGTCGCGTAACACACATAGAGTTTCTCGACATGCGCCCGCGAAGGGCTGCCCTCTCTGCTTTTCAATATTGTTCTGTTTTCCGTCTCGTCTGTTCAGAGGCAGAGCAAAGGTCATTAGGTGGGCGGATCGACAGAAAAACACGACTCGATAATGTGATATGTGTACATCGAAAAAATAGCAACCAAAGAGGCGTGATTTTTTTCGCTCGATGCAGCCCAGATGTGGGTTTAGCTGTGCTGTGAGAGGGTCTATGCCCAGGTACTGCCGAACGCTACCACTGGTACAGTCCGGATCATACAGAACCGCACCCGTGCGACTATCTAATTATGCCCCGACTCTACCTCGTTCTACTCCACTATAACGAGTCTAGGAGTCGCCTACGCCTACTCCCTAACCCAACCCTAACCCTAACCATATCAGCCTAGATAGTTACCAGGTACAATTCCGTAACCGACCGCCTTACCCAGCGGCTAGATTTCGGCAGTACTCTGGGACATAACCCTATGAAGCCTACGACTGCTCTTCTGCTTTTTTTGTTATCTTCGGTTTTTTATTACCTCAAGGATCTCATTAGACCCTATGAGCAGTACTGACTGTCTACTTAAGGACTGACTTCTTAATGTGATGATTTTCTAAAAATCCTGATTCAGATGTGGTGCGTTACTAGTGGCAGCTGGGTGCAGTTTTCTTAATTAATGACGTGCTTTTAATTACTTTTTATTTACTTATTTTTTTAGTGGCAGCTGGCTCTCTCTGTCGGATCGTAAATTTTGGCATGTATGTGCACGGACAATAAATGTTAACTAAGACGATGTATCAGGAATAGCATATTCAATAGATGTTTTATAGTTCTATGTCTGATTGTGAATTTTACTTAAGATGTGGGTGATAGAAATAGCATAATTAGGNCAGCGATCGAGAAACTCCTGAACTCGGCGACGTCTGCAGAGCTGCGAGCGTGGGTGGAGCAACAACCGGCCACCGCCCCCTCCGCATCGGACCCCTCCCCCAACCCCTCCCACGCAGACGCGGGGGCGGGCCGTCGAGACAAGCCTTCCAAGAAGCGAACGGTCGTCGCCAGGGAGACGGAGGTTTGAGCGCGCGTGAGTCGTCGCCGCGGCGACGGCGTCAACGGTACTCCGATGCTGCGTCGATTCGATAATTCGTCACTAGCGACGGCTGGTTCCGGATGGTTTGCAGTTTTCCGGATAGTTCCCGGGG